CATGGGAGAGGGTCAAAACTGCCATTTGATTGGGCAGAGAGGAGTATTCATAGATCAGGACCAATCACCAGAGCTTCTCCTCAGGTCTTGCTGTGCTAACCTTTCCAGGACTGATTGTTTCTTCCCAGTTCTATGGAACCCCAAAGCAGAAAATGCTAATGCATGTGTGGAGGGTCCCACCTGCGAATGGAGCCTCTGGCAGCCCAGTGAAGTCCTGGATCCCTCCTTCCCCTCCACATTTCTGATGGCCATTCAGAATAGCATGAAGTGAGTTGTGATAAAAGACTGGGAGGTCCATGCATGTACTTGTCGCAGGTTTCTCTGACCCTGGTTCAATTGGCATTCCCTGTGCTCTGCATCAACGGGACTAAGGCTGGTCCATCTCCAGAGTCCAGGCTTTTCCTCTTCTGTACAGAGGAGAGTCCAGATACCTGTGCAGAGCACTCTTCATTGTCCTAGTCTCTGCATTTCCAGCCTTGTTCTTGCAAGAAACTAAAGGTGGCTTGAAAGCTACTTCTCCCCCTTTTTTTATCTGCACAAAATCAGCCCTAAGAGCATCTGGCCCAGAGTGACCCAGGGAGATTCATGGCTGAGTGGGGACAAGGAACCCACATCACCTGGGCCCCTCCCTGCTGCAGGGCCTCATGGCAAACGGATGGATGGATAGCTAAACAAACAACTTTAGCCAAATATCTGATGTTTTCGAAAGAGAAACCATGGCGATTTGCGGAAGAATTGCTACTCAAATTTTTAATACCAGGATTGAGCCAGGCCACTGGACCCCAAAGCAGGACAGATATAAAGAAATAACTGAGCAGATCAGCTTCCCTGGACTATGTTGGGCTTTGCAAAGTCAAGTACCATCAAATCATGGAATACCTAATGACTGTATGGTTCAGACTGTCAGGCGATCCCTCCTGTCCTTCAGAAATAATATATTTAGTCCTTGCCCCTGACAACTTCTCTAAGCAAAATTTCCTTCTCTTTCCAGAGAAGATTTGCCCCTTTCCCTGACAGGTCATATATGATTCTTCCCCAACATCACCCAAGTCCTCATCTTCACTACATCTTGGAAGAACTCAGGCTGTTCTGAATGTCCCACTGTGGGTGACAATGATGAATTTGCTTTCCTTCTTTCCAGATGCAGAGCATTGCAAAAGGCATCCAGAAGATCAGCACCCAAACAAAGGCCAAGATTGATGCATGCCCAAGCAAATAATATTCCTCTCCTATAAAGAACCTTTGGGTATTCTTCTCTCTTTTTTCTCCGTGATCTCTTCTTTGACCACAGGGTTTGTGTTAGGAATCTTCATCAGATTCCTAGAAACTCCAGTAGTCAAGGTCAATAATCAGGACCTCTCCTATGTCCTCCTGGTTTCCCTCGTTCTTTCCTTCCTGTCCTCCCTCCTTTCATTGAGCAGCCAAGCAAAGCAACTTGCCTGCTGTGACAAACAGCCTTCAGCATCATCTTCTCAGTGGCTGTGTCTTCTGTGCTGGCCAAGACTATCACTGTGGTGCTGGCCTTCCTGGCCACCAAGCCTGGGAATAGAGTGAAGAGATGGCAGGGGAAAAGTTTTGCATGCTCCATTGTAATTTCCTGTTCCAGTGTCCAGCTGGCTATCTGCTCCATCTGGCTGGGCATGGCTCCACCTTTCCCTGATGCTGACAAGCATACCTTGCCTGAAGAGATAATTCTGCAATGCAGCGAAGGTTCTGTGGCCATGTTCTACACAGCCATTGGCTACATGGGCTTACTGGCTGCCATCTGCTTCACGGTGGCTTTCCTTGCCAGGAAGCTACGAGGGCCCTTCAACGAGGTCAAGCTGATCACCTTCAGCATGCTGGTCTTCTACAGCGTCTGGGTGTCCTTTGTGCCCTCCTACCTGAGCACCAAGGGGAAGTACATGGTAGCAGTGCAGGTCTTCTCCATCCTGGCCTCCAGTGCTGGGTTACTTGGCTGCATCTTCCTTCCCAAGTGCTACATTATTGTCCTGAGGCCTGATCTGAATACAAAGCAGCATCTCACAATCAAAACTAAAGATGGCATATGATTGGTCTATGAGATGCTGAAGGATTCCACTGCCAGCACTCATTGAATAGGAATCACATCTTATGTTGCAGATGAAATAAATAGCTTTAAAATCTGGGGCATGTTCCTCCAAGAAGACTCATTCATCCATCCATCCACCCATCCATTTATATCCCACCTTTTTTTTCCTTCCCGTGATCTCAGGAAGCTTACATATTCTTCCTTCACCTCCTCTTATTTCTATCCCCATAGTAGGGCTCACATAAACCTACTGGAGTATTCATGGGCTTTGTCTTGGGCTTGGCCTGGCCTTCCAAAGCAAACTGAGCTTAGTGCAAATCTCCAAATCCTCCCAGACACACTTCCCACCATTTGTACAACAGGCACACTCCTTTCATATCCCCTGCAGATTCTCAAACAATGGTTAAAGGGATTCCAACCATTTGCTGACCAGCCTTTTTTGGAATAATTTGCAGCTGTACACAGGGCATGAACCTTCCTGAGGGAGGAGACTAGATTTAGTGTGTCTTTTTGGTTTGGAATCAGCTCTTCCCATCGACAAAACCTGCTCCTACAAACCAAAGTGCATCGTTGGTTGTTTCCAGGGCTCTTTGAGTGATCAATTGACTGTCGCTAGCAAAGTGATGCTCAAAATCCTACAAGCTAGGCTCCAGCAGTATGTGCACCAAGAACTACCAGAAGTACAGGCAGGATTTCGAAGAGGGAGACGAACTAGAGATCAAATTGCCAACATATGCTGGATCATGGAGAAAGCTGGGAGTTCCAGAAAAACATCTATTTCTGCTTCATTGACTATGCTAAATCCTTTGATTGTGTGGATCATAACAAATTGTGGCAAGTTCTTCAAGAGACGGGAGTACCAGACCATCTTATTTGTCTCTTGAGAAACCTATATGCAGGTGAAAAAGCAACAGTGAGAACTGGATGCAGAACCACTGATTGGTTCAAAATTGAGAAAGGAGTCTGGCAAGGCTGTATACTGTTGCCCTGCCTATTTTACTTGTATGCATAGCACATCATGAGAAAGGCAGGGCTAGATGAATCACCAGTTGGAATTAAGATTGCTGGGAGAAATAACAACCTCAGATATGCAGATGATACCACTCTAATGGCAGAAAGTGAAGAGGAACTAATGAGCCTCTTGATGCGGGGGAAGGAGGACAGTGCAAAAGTTGGTTTGAAACTCAACATTAAGAAAACTAAGATCATGGCATCTGGTCCTCTCACTTCCTGTCAAATAGATGGGGACAAAATGGAGGTAGTGACAGATTTTATTTTCCTGGGCTCCAAGATCACCGCAGATGGGGACTGCAGCCAAGAAATTAAAAGACACTTGCTCCTGGGGAGGAAAGCTATGGCAAATCCAGACAGCATACTAAAAAGCAGAGTCCTCACCCTGCCAACAAAAGTGTGTATAGTCAAGGCTATGGTTTTCCCAGTTGCAATTTATGACTGTGAAAGCTGGACCATAAGGAAGGCTGAACGCAAAAGGATTGAGGCCTTTGAATTGTGGTGCTGGAGGAGACTCGTGCGAGTCCCTTGGACCGCATGGTGATCAAACCGGTCAGTCCTAGAGGAGATCAACCCTGACTGCTCTTTAGAAGGCCAGATCCTGATGATGAAACTCAAATACTTTGGCCACCTAATGAGAAGGAAGGACTCCCTGGAGAAGAGCCTAATGCTGGGAACAATAGATGGCAAAAGAAGAAGGGGATGAAAGAGGATGAGGTGACTGGATGGAGTCACTGAAGCAGTTGGTGTGAGCTTAAGTGGACTCCGGAAGATGGTGGAGGACAGGAAGGCCTGGAGGAATGTTATCCATGGGGTTGTGATGGGTAGGACACAGCTTCGTGATTAACAACAACAAGGAAAGGAATCCACTGCATAACCTGGTTTGGCCCCAATACTCAGGCTCACTTTGTAGTGTCCTGACTGTGAATGCCTGACCAGCTTTTGTGGGCTGATCCCCAGGGGTGGAGTCCCACATTACCACTGCCTGAGCAGCATCCCCCTTCTGTCCACCTCCCTGTTATACAAGCTTTCTTCTGAAAGTGCTTGCAGACTTCCTCTAATCTTGGCTAATTTTCCAAGACTGGGCCAAGCCATAGCAGAAGTCCATTCCTGCTAGAGGGGTGGATTCCCCTAGGCCTCATCCCAATCCTAGTCATTACCAGAACAACCCATGGCTTATCATGCCTGGACAGAGGGAGGGGACTGAACACATTTACCAGGTTGGGAAACCAACATGGCTATCAACTGAAACAATGAGGAAATCTGCAGTGGGCCACATGTTGCCCACAGCTGGGATATCAAAAGAAGTTCACCATATGGGATCTTTGGAAGGTGGGTCTCTGACAGAGGTATGGCCAAGCTCCCATTTCTCACTCCCTGTGTTTGCAAAATATGCAGCCTCATCAAAGAGGACTAACAATATGTTTTTCTCCCTTTGTGTCCCTGTGCCTTGAGACACACAATGAGTCCAGCAGCAGAGCTGCTATCTCTCGAGCATCAGATGATTAATAACAGAGTGATTAGTGTTGTTCCAGTCAATGCACTACAGGCCTACTTGAGATTACTTTTGAGACAAATGAATCAAGTCACAAAATCGAGGGAAATGTCAGGAAAAGCCATGCCTTGTACCTGAGCAACTGGCTACATGACACACCTGTAGTACCCCTGAGGACCAGTGCTGGGGCTCAGAGCAGGCTGCAAGATTCAGAGATGCTGCCCGTCTGATGTTTAGAGAAGTCCCCTTGGGTTCACTAGTGATTGTATCTCTTTGACTGCAGGGTTCAGCTGGTTTTCCGGTTGAGCTGGATCTGTGGGTGAGAACAGCAGGCACACGGGCATGTGGGAATCAATCCAAGGTATCCCAATGCTGGTGCTCTTGCTGCTTCTGCTGCTGCCTCATGCAGTTTCTGAAATTCAGAAGACAAATTGTCCTGAGGATATGTTTGAAGAAGGAGCATCCAACTATTATCAGCCAGGCAACTACCTGATCAGCGGTTTTGTTTCTTCACAATCTATTGATCATCAGCAACCGTATGTCTTTTATGAGTCACCAGGCAAGCGGGGGGAGAGGTAAGTCATGATGCTCACATAATTGCCATTCTGTACTCCACTTGTGCCTCTCTCCAGGAGACAGCCCATAATTCTGGTCCCCACGGTCATCCCCTTGAAATATCTGTATTTTGCCCTTCTTTATTTTGCCCTCTGTATTTTGCCCTTCTTGTGCTTTCTGAGGGAAAATAGGGAGCACCCCGAAGAGCAAATTCACATCTTTCTGGCCACTGCCTGCATGGTTCTAGCCTTAGGGAGAAACATCTGCTCTCGTTAACCCAGGTGGCAGGATCCTGGCTGGATCCAAGGTGGATCTTTCTTGGGGTTGCTTGAATCCCAGCAGCCATTGCATGACTCGCCTTGCCAGCCCTACTTCTCTACCTGTTATATGGTAGCAAATGATGTGGGAGACATTTATTTTCAGCTCATCCTAAGGAGGTAGCACAACATGCATAGCAGAATATCTGGGGAATGGTCAGGGAGTGTGAATGTAAAGTATCCTTGTCATGAAGAGTCGGGTGTTTCCTTCAATTATTTCTACTTGGCATCTTGGGGAGGAGAGGAAATCTCACTTCCTAAGTCCTTCCCTGACATATCCTACTGGAAAAGATCACTGAGATGAATGTTCCATCTCTGCCTCTGTGAATGAGAAAATCAAATACTTCTGCTGGGGAGAAAATGAATGAATGTGCCTGTGAGTATTCTAGGTTCAAAGTAGTTTCTGTGACTCCTTCAGTGATTGCGGCACATCATCAGTTGGGACTTCTAATCTAGTCTTCAGCATCCCAAGAAGACATTAATATAAGGAGAGCCATGATACACAAGACCAATGGTCCTTCTAGGCCAGGATTGGATGCATGCAGTAGCCAATGGGGTGTCAGTGGGAATCCCAGAGTAGGAAGGAGAGCAATAACACTTCTGCATTTGTGTTTTCAGCAAGGGGTGTTCATATGATCCTGCCTCTGATAGGAATGTGTGAACAACCTGTGAGCAGAAATCCATCACATTCCTTGGGCTTAGCTCCCTGGAAGCCAGCTCATTTTGCTGCAGCCCGGAGTCTAATTTGCTGGTGAGAGTGCCCAGCACTTGTGATGAACTCTCCAGGAAATGAACCACACACTTTGAGCAAGCAGTGCCCCACTCACACAGCCAGTGCAGCTGTCCTTTGAGTGACGGCAACTGATGCTGAACAAAGCAGGTGGTGGGTGGCTGATTTGGAATGCGGTTCCCATGACTGCTGGCAGCATCTCTCTCACAGGCCAAGAGTAGCTCCCATGTAAGCAGTCACAACAGATGTGGAAGCTTGCAGAAGTTTTGGTCTTCAAGCATTCAAGATTTTGTCTCAGGTGAGCATAGTTTAGAAGAGCAGGCTGAGCACAAGAGGGAGCCTGAAAATGCATGGAGGAGGGCTTCTGAGAAGTTTCATTGCAACCCTGGCCTTTGATCACAGAGGCAGCATATAGCCATCAGAACTGGCCTTCCTCTCTAGAACGTGTCCTGTTAAAGTTATCAGATTTGAAGCCCTTACTAGGGTTGGTATGTTTGAATACTTTTGGAATCCACAACATTTGAATCCGTGGACTTCATCTCATGCTTGGCCTGGCCCTACAAAGTAAGCAAAGTGAAAAGGAAACCCATCCAAACAAAATTCCTGCTAACTGGTGCCAGTGTCACTGGTGGGCATCGAAGAAGGGGACTAATTGTGCAGCACATGGGACTCAATTCCTGTGAAACATCCTGCAACCCTTGGGTGTGCTCACCAGGAACATGGACTCTGAGTTGATGTGAATCTGGGAAGCCCAAACCAGGGAATCCAATGGATTTTCTGCACAACCCTAGCTGTGGCTGCACCGGCTGCAAGCAAATTAATGGAATTGCATACCCTCTGGAGAGTGGTCAGGGAAGGTGAATTTCAAGCATTCTTGGCATGAGGATGTGGGTGTTTCCTTCAATTATTCCACTTGGCATATTGGGGAGGAGAGGAGATCTCACTTCCCATGTCCTCCAGATAAATATTTGAACTCTATCACTACTTTGGTAATGGTGAGAAAATCAAACATTTTTGCTGGAGAAGTAGAGAGACAAAGCCTCTCTTCTTCCTGGGTGAAATTTGGGTCTTTCCTGTACACTGTTGTGCACTGGTGGTTTGAGATAAGTCTGTGTGTCTGTGAGTATTCTAGGTGCAAAGTAGATTGTGTGGCTCCTTCAGGGATGGTGGTGCACTACCAGCTGCATCTTCTCATCTAAGCTTCAGCATCCCAAGAAGACATGAATATAAGGAGAGTCATGATCCACCATGGTCCATCCAGGCTAGCATTTGGTGCACACAGTAGCAAACAGGGGCCACTGGGAATCCCAAAAGCAGGAAGGAGAGCAATAAAACCTCTCCGTTTGCCTTTTCAGCAAGGGATGTTCATATGATCCTGCCTCTGATAAGGAAGTGTGAAGAATCTGTTAGGGAGAGGAAAGTCATCCCATTCCTTGGGCTTGACTCTCTGGACTCTGGCTCACTTTGTTCCGGGGGGGTGGGGGGGTGGGCGGGGCAGCACTTGAGAGGCATTCTCCAGGAAGTGTGCCACATGCCTTATACAAGCAGCACCTTTCTCGTACACAAGTGCAGCTGCTCATTTAGAGGCTGCAACTGATGCCAATAGGGCAGCTGATGAGGGGCTCACTGCAAATGTGGCCCTGATGCCTGCTGGCAGCATCCCCCTCACAGGCTTGGAGTATTTGCCATGTGAGTGGTCACAACTGATGTGAAGGCGGTTGTCTGCAAGTATTCACAGACTTCCCAGGTCAGCATAGTTTGGAAAAGGAAGCTGAGCAGAAGAGGAAGCCTACAAATACTTGAAGGATGAACTCTGAGCAGCTTCATCACAACCCTATCCATTGATAGCAGAAGCCATCAGAACTGGCCTACTCCTCCAGGAATGTGTCCTGATCACGTTAGTCACCCTGACTAGAGTTGGTATGAACACTTTTAGAATCCACCTTCTAGATCCTATGGACTTTCTCCCATGCTTGGCCAGACCCTGTAACATAAGCTGAGTCAAAAAAAAAAAAAAAATCCATCCATTACACTTCCCAACACACTGGTCCCGGTGTCAGCAGTGGGTGCCGAAGAATGGGTCTGATTGTGCAGAATGTGGGGCTAAAGTTTTGCAGATGCTGGGTGTACTCATTGGGAACTCAGACACTTGGCTGATGTGAAGAGATATTGAACCTGACAAGCGAAAACCAGTGATTCCAACAGATTCCTAGCCATGGTTGCATCTGGTACAAGTCAGTACCAGCATTTAAGTGAATGCTGTGTGAATGACATGGTGGCTCAGAGGCTTCATGACACTGGAACTGCTGATCAGAAATGGTCTGCACTCCAGCAGTTTGAGTCCAGGTTCATGGGATGGAGTTAGTGCCTGTCATTTGCCCCTAGCTGCTACCCACCTAGCAGTTCAAATGTGTACCATCTACAAGGAGATAAATAGGGAATGTGACTTTCTGGTGGGAAACCGGATGGCTGTGTTCACAATGAAACAAAGCGCCTGGCTGGATCTGCCTGGACATGCTCAGCAGACAATCAGCAGGAAAATTTCCTCGATGAACTGATTTCAAAATGAGCATTGATAGCCAAACAGTGCTAAGCTACTTTGCACCCTGTGGTGCACCAGCAATAAAAGGCTAGCAACTGCAGGCTCCAGAACATCTACTGTGTGTAAAACATTGTAGACTCCCTGGTAATATTCACCATATACTATGTAAATAAATCCGTGAATGATTCCTTCTTTATCAGTATCCCGAATCTCCTCTGAATGATCTCATAGAGTGAATTGAAATACTGTACTTCTTGCCTTGCAGTTTCTCAATTCTACGGTACTGGCACATGTTGCCCATCTTGCTTTCCATCCATGAGATCAACCAGAATCCCAGGCTCTTACCCAACATCACTCTGGGCTATGACATCTATGAGAGCCATTTTGATGGGAGAATGACTTCCTATGCCATGCTAGGCCTGCCTGCCAGTGGGGAGAGCCACCTTCCCAACTTCAGCTGTGGGAAGAGGAAGAACCTGCTGGTCATTCTTGAAGGAAGTGAATCAGACATTTCCACTCTCATTTCAGCCATGTTGGTCATCTACAAGTTTCCTCAGGTGGGCCCTGGGAGGGGAAGAGAAGCCAGCTCCACCCAAGTTCAGGACATCAACATTTGGAGGGATCAGTCTTTCAGAGGGGACATGGACAAATCCAGACATATCTCTCATAGGGATGTTTTTTCCTGGGGAACAAGGCAACTGTGCAATAAGTTTTGCTTCCATCAGCCTACGCATAGTGCCTTGAAAAGGAGAAAATCTCTAGTCTCTCTAAAGTGGAAAGGGCAAGAGACAGCTTAGGATGCTCACCTAGTCTTACATTTTCTGGTCTTGACTTAGTATATGCTAGGCTGGGCTGGGATTGGGAGAGTTCTGGGCTTTCTGCAGGGAAGGACCCCACTTTCCCAAAGCAAATTTGGAATTGCTAAGGTAGAAATGATCGTTGAGATGTATTGTCCCTCCCTTCTTCCTCAGCTTCCTCTTCCCTTGTGATTGGCCCCTGGTTAGACGTTTCATGTACACATGATTCAGATGCTCATCCTAAATACAAAAGAGTGCTAACTGCCAGGCTCTTCCTCTCTTTCATTAGATTAGTTATGGCTTGGTTGACCCTGTTCTGGAGGATCACATGCAGTTCCCATTCATCTACCAGACTGCCCCAATGGAAGAAACCCAACACTTTGCCATAACCAATCTGGTAGTGAGTTTTGCTTGGATGTGGGTTGGTCTTGTTTCCCCAGACACTGAAAATGGAGAAACGTTTACGAGGTCAATGATTCCATTGATGATCAAACAAGGAATCTGCATTGCCTTCACAAAAAGGTTATCACGAAAAAGCGTATCCAGAATGACTCAGAATGATTTCCCTATTGCATGGGGACAAGTGAATGTAGTTGTTTTCTACACAGGCCCATATGGCTTAATTCCAGTTATCATGATGCATCATATACTTGGAAGGGAAAAATTGGAGGAAAGGTCTGGATCACAACCACTGTGCAAGACATCAACTTGTACTTATCATCCAATCCTGATTCCTTTCAGGTTCTCCATGGATCTTTGTCCTTCATCATGAAGAGCCCTCAAAAGACAAGACTTGACCATTACATTCCAGTTTCTAATGCTACTGAATGGTTTTGGGAGGATATTTTCCAATGTTTCTATTCAAAGCATGCTTTTTCCATGAAAAGTTGGTCAAGGTATTCAGAGAAGGAGAAACTGGAGATGCTCCACCAGGAGGAGCTGGAAAGACTTTTTTCGCAAGACAGCTTCCTTACTTACAACAGTATCCAAATGGTAGTCCATGCCTTGAACACTGCAACTTCTTCCCCATCCAAGTGGATATTGATGGCTGGAAGAGGAGACAGACTGCAAGCAGAGAAGCTGCAACCATGGCAGGTATTCCCCTTTTCTGTTCTGGTATCTCAGCAAATGGCAAAAGGTTCCAGGTTCAGTTGGGCAAACACATGTTCTAGGACATCCTCTTGTCTATTATATGGCAGTGCAGAAGGGGAAATTTAGCCCACTCTTCCAACTTTGCTCTCCCCTCAAGATGATACATGGGCATTTATTCTAAAATGTCCTGGGAGCATTTGCACTTTCCTCTGGACCCCTCAGGAACAGAGTGTCCTGTTTCCTGAAAGTTCTTTCAGCATACTTTTGGTTCATATGATTATATAGTTAGCTTGGTGTGCTGTTATTTCTGTCACATCTGTGAGTGCCATCCATTCCATGGATTTCCATCTGATCATTTAGGCCAAGTGCTTACAGCAATGCCTCTGATTGGTGTCTTCCCGATGATTCCCTATAGTGCCTAATACCAAATATGGTGGCACAGCTCCCAGTATGTTAAACCCATCCTTACACAAGAACTGAAAATTCCTACTCCAGAAGTACTACATTTTTTAAAAGAAAATTGTTTTAAATTGTACTGATTTCAGTAACAAGTCCATAGTTGATGGTACCTCCTTTCTGGCTCAGGTTCTTGAGAAGATCATTTGTTTAGTCACAAGGATGCCCATGCTCTAGAGGTTGCTAGTCTAGTTGTTTCCCCCAGATGGATGACATGATCCCTGTCCTAACCCTTGACTTGGTCCAGGATGGATGATTGTCATAGAAAAAATTGTCAGGACTCAGTAATGCACTGGATGAGGGCTCATAGAGTGTATTTGGATTCTGGGAAAAAGGATACTGTGTTCAAAATATGTGCAGGAGGAGAGCTTTGTGGTTATTCTGACCCAAATGGATAACTAACAGGTGACTTCAAGAGCAAATTATGCCAGGACTTTTCCTGAAATCAACTACGAAGAAAGTGAGGCTGCCTTCTACACACAATGAGAAGGCAAGACTCCCTGGAAAGGACCATGAATCTCGAGAAAGCTGAGGGACAAGAAGACATGGAAGACTCTGAAATGGATTGCTTCCATAGACAGAGCAATTCATGGATCCTTCCTCCCTTCTTCCCTCCCTCCCTCCCTCCCTCCCTCCCTCCCTCCCTCCCTTCCTTGCTTTCTCTCTGTCTCTCTCTCTCCTTCCTTCCTTCCTTCCTTCCTTCCTTCCTTCCTTCCTTCCTTCCGTATGCCATTCCAAGACGTTTGCAGGATGCATTAGAAAAACTTTAAATGAACAAATAAATAGTAAAGCCAGAGCTTTAAATTTACAAGAGCTAAGCAGGGTGGTGAAAGACACAATATTCTGTTGGGCCTCCATTCCTAGGGTTGCCGTAAGTCAGAGATGACTTGATGGAACTTACTAACAAGAATAAGATCAATATGAGGTGTGACACAAAACTAACCAGATTAGTAATTTTAAAAGATTATAACATTCTGAATTACAGCATTCTGAAGTTTGTCACCTTCTATATATTCCCCTCCTGATCTCTACCCTGCTCCATACATATTTTCCATTGATTGAAAAAGTCCTGGAAGTCTTCTTGCATGAGGATCTTCAATAGGTTTGCCGTTTTTGTATTCACTTTACTCATTGACACAAAACATGTTCCCTTCAGGTCACTTTTGATTTTTGGGAACAAGTAAAAATCACAGGGAGCTAAATCAGTTGAATAAGGAGGATGATCAAGGACAGGAATGTTTTTTCCACTCAAAAACTGCTTTACGGAAAAAGCATTGTGCATGGGAGGATGATGTTGATTTGCTGTTTGATTCCCCCCCCCCACACACACACACACTTTCATGGCAACATGTGTAGCAAGTGTAATTCAAATACTGACTGGGCTATTGATAGGATATACCTAGCCAGTTGGTGGTTTGAGAGGGCGTGTAGGAGGAGATATACAACATCTTGCCAACCTCCAGATGATTTTCCAGGAAAGCCCTTAGCACAATCCAGTTATTTCTGTGCCTCACCTCATATTCTCTTGCAAGTTGATCACATGCCTGGGAGATAGACTTGATGACATTGGTAGCAGGAGTTATACTCTACCTGAAGGAGCAATCTCTGAACTCAGCTTGAATGCAGGACTGAGTCACTTTGGCCACTCAAAAGCCTTAGCACCTCTTTGTCTTGCATTCTGTCCATGTGTATTCATGGAAGAGATGGTTTGGCTCCCCTGCTGGAGACAGGCATTGGTTAACTCAATGCTGGATTACAGCAATGTGCTCAGAGTAGAGCAAGCTCCGAAAGAAGCTTGAAAGTTGCAGCCATGATCAATCATTGTTCTGAACAAGTGTTCCTGGTTAGGAGCATCTTCTACATTTTAGGGAAAATAATCAGGAAGTGCAAACTATTACACAACTGAAGAATCATGGTCCTGCATGCTGGATCAAAGATTCAGGGAAGACATTTTCCCACCCCTTTGAGACAAGTGCAGCTTGTGCAGCTACTGATGGAGTTTCAAGTTTCTTCATGCCATGGTGACTTTGGCTTCCTGTTGTTGCTCCTTGGTGCCTGAGGGAGGTGAATTTGGACTGTTGCTGATGGGAAGACTGCTGACTGCCACTCCATCAGCTTCCAGCTGGAGGAAAGGCACATCATCTCAGGAGATCTATGAAGACCTGTGAAGATGGGACCTATTCCCCTTTCTAAATAAATCCTGTATTGTGTCCTGATAGCACTAGCTATTGGGGAGTTGTTGTTGTCATGTCTTCTCCATTTTGGTTATGTCTTCTTTTGTCTATGTTATGTCTCATCATGTCATCTCCAACCTATGTCACCCCATGAAAAAAAGGCAAAATGCCCGATCCACGACAGCTCCATTCAGCTCTTCCGCATTCAAAGCTGCAGCTTCCTTTCAGATTCAGTCCATCTCATAATGCAGCTTCCCCTTCATCTTTTGCTTTCAACTCTCCCTAACATGATTGTCTACTCCAGGGACTCCTGCCTCTTATGAAATTTCTGTAGATACTAAGAGTGGAGGGGCAAGCAGGAGACAACATTTCCATGAAGACCACCAGAATACTAAGGGTGGAAAATTGGCTGGCTTTCAATGAGGAAGCCCTATCTTGATGGAACCCCTCTCATGCACCACTGGTGGCTCTCATAGCAAGACTTTCCTCATGGCAGCTATCCCTAAAGAGATGCAACAAGATGGCACAGGTGTTTACTCTCATTAGCCACAACCAGCCTGGTCAGGGACACAAATCTGGGAGAAATCTGTAGGGACCATTTGGGAATTCTGGGTTACTGTGCACAGGCATCTTCATTACATGATATTGTTGATCTTGCTTTGCTGCAACATTCTAAGGGGGAAAATGAAGGAGATCAAAGAAGGTGTCTCAGCTGTGCAATCCGAGTGCAGATGGGATATGCATGGATTTCAGCTCATAGAACTCAGAGCAAAGATGGCTAAAATACTGTACATCTTTTCAACTCTCTGCTATGGAGTGGCATGAAAAACCAATAAATTGATAAATGATTACTGAGTGAATGGATGAATGGATGGATAGCATTAACTTGTTGCCTTCTCTGTCATTCCAGTTCCACAATTTCTTAAGAGGAATCTGGCAATCTAACACTTCCATCAATGGGCTGTATTTGGATGAGCATAGGCAACTGGAAGCCAACTTTGATATTGCGAATTGGGTGCTGTTTCCCAATGGCACCCC